CATCTCTTGTCTTGGACTAGCTGCTAAGTTTCTGTCTGGCCAACAAGAGCGATTTACTGGCTTGGAGAAATGTTTTAAATATCAACAGTTTTCAGGCTCAGCCAAACCAATCGTTCCTGAAGCTCTTTAAATGACTCTTGTACCTAATGAGGGAAGTGAACAATTGAATCAAACCTAGAGATCTGGCAGCTGGATGGAGATCCACCACCCTGACCCGCTCCTACTGCCACAAGGTCATTTCTCCCTCTTGAGGGCACATGTCCTGTTTTCACACACACATGCTGAGCACCTGATGCACCAGTAGAAGTCGGTTGAGTATTCTCATGTTACAAATCCAACTGTTTTTTCTGCTGTAGAGCAGGATTACAGGCTCAAACTTTGCAGGACCACTGTTGGCAGGGACAAGTTAACAAGGAAAATGGAATTATGAATTTAACCCAAACCTAAGGCACTGGACTAAGCAAAAGACGAGGAATATACTGCAACACTCCATACATTACCAATTATGACTGTGTGGTCTCATGTCCATTCCGATACCAGAGGAGATGCAGGCCAGCTGTGATTTTACCCAGCTCACACTTCTCTCATGTGTTGCCTCTTGTCTTTATAAATTCATTTTTACGTAAGACATCTGTGTCAGGCCTGAACTCTCTGTGCAATTTTCCTTCTGTACTTGCAGAATGAATTCAGCCAGCCAGGTCCTATTTCTCCTTGGGCACCACAAAAAAGAAATATGAATGGCTCTATTTGCATCCAGCTGGTACAAAAAGTGATGTCAAAAGCATAATGGGAAGGAGGAAAGGATCCAATTACAAAAGCAAGATCTGTGAGATAATCTTGGTCCCAGGACAGTGAGAAGTAGCAGTTAGGAAAATCTCATCTATCTGTCAGTTGGGGTCATTCAATGAGCACGTTACCGAGAGGAAAGGTGGCACCTTGAAATGCCAATTACAACTTTCCAGACCGAAATGAGCTTCAGCCTCCTCTGCCGCCTGTGCCTTCATCTCTAACATGACAGGAAGGTAAGCTTGAGCAACAGGAATTCAGTTTCCAAGAAGGAGCCTAACTGTACTGCAGTTTAACAACCAAATGATGGCTTTGCAGAAGTTGCTCACTCCACCCAGGGGGCTGCCTGGCTGCATGGAGGAAGCGCATGGTGTTGACTTCCCAAACTGACTCATGGTTGTAAGCCCTGGGGCGGTATTTATAGAGTTGGCGGAAAAATTTCCAGGAAACATCACTTACTGGCACTCACAAAAATAGCAAGGAAACTCTTCAATTACCAAACTTTTAAGGAACAAAATCTTTCTTCTTTATGACAAGACAGCAAAGAAACAGCCTCTATGATTTGCTTGGAAGCAGTTACAATTAATATTGTTCCTTATCTCACTTTTCCCTGACAGTAGTAGATGTTGCTCCTAAGCTATTAATTCTGTACAGCTGCAAGGTTGTTTTTTCTCTCCTCTCTCTTCTACTGATTGTTTCCAGGATAAGATGCTCAAGTCAGCCTTGTCTCTGAAAACTTTAGCAGTTATCTCCTGGAACGTGTCTGCAATACCATTCACAGGTTGAACCCAAGCTCATGCATGCAGAGACTCAAGCGAATCCAGGAACCAAGAACAGCTCAACCACAGCAGCCCAGAGGTGAGCCTGAACCCTTCAGCCAACTGTCCAGAATCCTGATTTGGGGAAGTGGTTGCAGTCTTCATTAAACCACATGAATCTGCAGGTAAACCTGCTACTGGAAGTCAAGCTATCCCATACAGAGGTGAGCTTATCCTTCTGCACAACCTAGACGTGCCCTGGGATCACCGACTGGACAACAGCAGAGGAAGGGCACAGATCAGTAGCTGGATCAGTCCCCTAAAAGTGGCTGTTCCCCTCCGCATATGCAGCAGTTTCCTTACGTCTCCTCAGACCCAGAAACTAAGCAGGCTTTCAGAAACATTTTGTCCCAGCAACAGTTTTAAGGACACAACCGCAAATCTAGGGGAGGCTCGACCACCTTAGAGCATGCACCTTTCCATCAAACATGGATTAATGCTCTTGCTTAGCGAGGGTGGGCAAACTATTCCAGACACGGTCCCCTTGCCCTAAGAAGCCCATATATCCCATTGGGAAGGATGTAGACTAGTTGACCACAGAAGTACCACTTTCTGGAATAAAAAAATCTTTTAAAAGCACAAGATACAAGCACAAGAGCTTGTCCCCATCCCACAGACAAAATGCAGATGCCTAATTTTATAACTATGACTTCCACACTGTCCCCACCACCATCCTCCCCTCTGAGGCCTGGGACCAGTGTTGGCCAAACAGTCTTTGAGAAGGCCTCAAAGATGTTCCCCTACATGTCTTACGCAAACCAGTAGCTTGGAAAAGGACAGACAAGCAGGGTAATGAGGGAAAGGCTGCTAGCATGAACTTGACCAGTACCTGCCCCGTTTGACCTCTCAGCTGTGCTGTCCCGGCACAGCTGCTGGGAGGGCACATCGGGTCCAGCTCTCCGCCAAGCTGCCAATCAGCACGGCACGCGGCCCGTGACACTCATGGGATGTAACACCCTGGGCAATGCAACGGAGACCCGACAAGTTTGTTTTGCACATGCCACCGCAGCATCGGCAGATACAGCAACGTGCTTTGGCCAGCACTGACATGGAAAGCATTCAAAGCACTCACACAGAGATAAGAGGCTCCCCTCATCTCCTGCCTGAGACACGCTGACCTCCCCTCCCTCCCTTCTCCCCAGCATTGTTAAAGATAATACAAAAATCTGCCACTTATTTTTTAAAATGGCTCTGTTTCAGAGGGGGTTGTTTCCCCCCTGTTTTTCTGAGGCCAATTAAAAATAAAAGTTTACCGGGAAGATGACAAGAGAAAAAAGCGTCTGATATCATTGGATTCAGCCTATAAGGATCTCACACATAAAAGAATTATGTCCCTGAGCACTTTCCAACAGACTTTCAGAAAATTTCATCTTTCTACTTCCTTGGCTGGATAGTCTGTTTGAGTAATTTTCTCTTTCTCCTGGGGCTGGTTGCTAAGAGACGCGCTATTACTTCTCCCTCTCTTATGACCCGATTACTGTGATCAGCAAAGACAGCGTGCAGACAACAGCCTGACATGGCTCATACAAGAACATCGGGCTTGTTACAAAATGATGGACTATATTAACACTCCGCAGCCCCTTCGCTCATGGTGGCCTTTGCAGAGTCTCCTGGCACAACTGGGGGCTTTTACTTCTCTGGCTTCTGAAGCGCACATTCAAACATTTTAAATCGCAGGACTGGGAAGGGAGAAAAATGGACTTTTACCTCCTGTGTTTCACTGCCTGCCAGCCAGACCAGTGTTAATGGATCCTCACTGAAAAACCCTTCTTTCCTTACCCTTCCCAAGAAGTGGCCCAGCAACTACGATTATCTCTTTTTTCTCTTCTGCAAAAAACTTTGCAAATACGTAATGCACATTGTTCTGGCTAGCACATTCCCTTGAACAGTTCAATGGCACATTGTAAAGCTGATCTTGACACTTCAGGGGCTGAGAGGTGACCCAGTCCTGCAAAGAGCTGAGCTGGATTGTTCTGCATTATTCCGGAAATGCACCCAATTGTAGGTTCACAGTGGACCCAACGAAGCCACTGCGACGCCCAACATGCTCCCAGTAGGTGCTGAAGCAGCCACAGCCTGGCACGGTGTCCTTTGCAGAAGATCCCTAGGTGACAGGGCCAGTGGGGGAGATGGGAAACTCGGAGCTGTGGTTGTGAGCTTGACCTGAGGGGTGCGTTGGACAAAAAGTTAAAGAAAGTTGATTTTGATGATGTTGTTACCAAAGAACAGGTCTGCTGCCAGCTCAGGATGGGGTCACCAGCCTCAGAGATCATCAGTCTCCAATTAGTAAGAATTTAACCCTCATCACATTCACTTTTTATAACATAAATTTCAAACTTCTACAAATGCTTATATTAAACCTACTTTTGAAAGATTGTGCTTACTAGTACTGCTTTAATACCATTTTCCTGCTCTTGAGGGTCCCCCTCTCCTCCCACCAGCTTGCTCAGGGGCAACTCCCATGGCAGGACCCTTGGGCAGACCCTCACACCACAGGTGCCTGGACTGTACAAAACAAAGTCCAACGTCATTGCAGAATATCTGAAAAAGTCAGTTGCTAAATCTTTCCAAATGGATCTTGTAACAGAGGTGGCCCAGATGCACAGGTCTCTCTTCTTATAATTATTCCTCACCTCCATGGCATTTCCCATAAACTCAGTGCTCAGCAAAACAAATGCCATTTTTCATGTCAGTGTGACTTCTACCAACCAGCCCTTCACGTCAGACTCTGCATTATGGTTTGGTCAAGTCTAGACTAAACCAAAACTTTTTCTTAGTCATTGTCATCACAGGAATTAAGAGTTGGAAAAGACCTGTGAGTCTTTTGCACTTCACAGCTCCTCAAATAGTTTGGGTAAATCCCCAGTCAAGCTCCTAGAGCATGCTTGCACGTTCTTCCATGGCTATGACCTTCCAGCCTGTGCACTAGTTAAAGAAAACAGAAGGGGAATTTCTACAGAGTGATGTCTGTTTATTAGGTACTAGACCAGATCCCCGCTCATCCCCTTCTGCATAACCACCTTCCCCGGCGCAGCCAGAGCTGCAGGACTCTCAGTCCCACTCACGGACCCTCAGCTCTTGCACCCAGTCCATCTCAACACGCTTTGCTTAGCAACGAGCATTTCTGGCCTCATACATTTAGTCCAAATTGTAATTGTGTCGTGTTCGCTGCCAGAAATGCTTGCTCTTTGGCCACAAGTACAGCTTCTGTGGCTTCAAGAGTTGCTCATTCATTCTTCTAACCTTTTATTAGACCAACCTGTAATATAACCCAATAGACATTTATTGGTTGCTCTGATTTAGCAGTACTCTGTCTGGCAGAGTAAAAAAGCTTTAGGCAGAGAAAAGGAAAAGTATACGTATAATCCTTTATTATAACAGTTAGCGTTCAGGGCATAGAAGAGCTGCATTGTATGAACAAGGGCAAAAAAATAAGAAATATTACTCGACTGTTAACTGTCATGTAACAATTGTTATTATTTAACAGACTAGCATCTGGAGGATGTTAAAATTTCAGATTAAAATAAAAGGGACAAGTGCTGCCTGCTTGAATTCAAGCTATTTCTGCATTAACATTGCACTCTTGCTTTGATTGGGCACCACAGCCCTTTAAAACTATATAGAGGACAAACATTACGTTTTTAAAAGTAGGTTTGATATAGTCGATGACAGATGTTTGCAACCTGAGTTATAAAAAGATGGCTTCTTTCCATTCCAGTGTATGTCAGAACTGTCTTTTTTTTCTCTTTTTCCCTTCCCTTTTTTGCCCTTTTTCTTTATTCTGCCCAAACTATTGTGGTTCATAGAACAGGCCACTGCAAAGATGAATCACTATTCGATGTTTGAAATAATGAAGTGGAAAAATTAAATATAGTATCTTGGAAGAACAAACAGACAGGAGGAAAAGAAAATGAGAAAAAAAAAGACAGGCATGGCAGAAAAAATTAAAAATCTACCTGCTGAGGAGTGTAATGTTTGCTTTATGATACTAAATAACAGAGAAAATAAGAGCTCAGTCACCAGAATGAAAAACAAGGCTGGGCACTACTTCAAGTAGTTCCCAAGTAAGAGGCGATGTGTTCCAAAGCCTGTGAAAGTTTAATATTTGTAATTCTAACAAAACACAGTCAGAATTGCTAATAAAACCTGGTGGCTTGACTTGACATTTTGTGAACTACAGATAAGTATAGTGTTTCAATAATAGTTTTTATGCACCTGTTTTATGTTGCATTTCTCCCGGTGCCATTATCTGAGCTGGTATTTCAAAAAACAAAATGCTCATCCTGAGAGCAAAGCCAAGAGCAGACCTATATATTTGTCTCTAACAAAAAAAAAAAAAAAAAAAACAGATGCAGACACTTTAAATATCCCAAGCAGTAACAACTTCTGGGATGACTGCAATCAAAACAGCTGGACACACCCAGAGCCAGTTAATTCACAACGGTGAGAATCACAAGTCCTGACACTGGTTCACCATGCTCTGGACAACCAGGCAAAACTCCATGTCTCCATAACTCATAAGCTATCGAGTAGCAGGATGCTGCCCAGGCACAAAGGCACCAACTTGGTCTCACGCCTTCTCCAACACAGTTCAGCTTGCCTGGGGCAATTTAAATCTGCTATTACACAAATGAGAACCACCACTCATTTCCAACTGGTTTCACTTGGTTCTTAACCATCGGGGAAGAGGATGTCATTAGAGAGAAATCAATGGAGACTTCGGAAAGGCTGCCTCAAACTGGTTCGCAGCTACTCCTTAACGAGGGACCCCCGCCTTCCTGCTTGTTCGGCGGGGTTCAGGGGCTTTGTTTGTGCTTTAAATGCTCTTGCATAGAAGATAGCAAAGCCACCACAAAGAGGCCTGGAGCTTCAAGTACATTTTCACTGGCTCTATTTTGTAAAAGTCTGTGGACGATGCAGTCCTGACACTAATGAATAAAGTATTGCTCCATCTGCTCCATGTCATTCAGTGCAAGGCACACTTGGAAGAACGAGAGCAAGGATTAAGAATGGCTTTATAAAAGTTTACAATATGCACTTTAAAAAAGCTTTCTCTAAAAAACGAGCACCAACGTGGGGGCTGTGCTCAGGCACAGTCAGGATGATTTGCAACAGTAAGGTTACTTTTTTATTCCCATCTCCACAAGCTCAATCCCAAGAGCATGATGGGACCAGAAAAAGGTTAGAGCACTTCTCAGCCTACTTTTTTTTGTCCCATCACTGAGACGCTGCCTCCCCCGCAGAGCATCAATGACTTTTTCAGCTGGCAGCAGAGCTGAGGAGTGAGGCAGGAGGCACAGACCAGCAGATCCCACTGGAAAAACTCTAGTACTCACAGGACTCAATTCAGCACCAAAACGACTGAGCAACAACATGTTCCCATCCCTCGTTTGGGCTGCAGCAATGGTTCACGTGCGTAACTCACAATACGTGCAAGACAGCGAGCCTCCGTTTCCACCAACATGAAAGACTAAATCGCATCATCTCCGTCAGCGTTGGACAAGGCGCACACAAAGCAGCACGGGCATGTGGCTGAGACAGCTCGCTGCTCCTGGCCCCGGCCTCCTCCCACGATGGGCACGGTACCGCGGCAGCCCACGAGAAGCTCCAAGGAGCAGGTATGCTGCCTCTCCGCCAGCACAGCCCTCCTGCCAGCGAGGATTCCTTTTGCTATGGTGCAG